GATACAACAAATTCACAGCAGCTTTCAAAGCAAAAGAAGCAAGAAGATTTGAAATTTGATCAAAAACCAAAGCTGCTCTCTTTCTCTCTAGTCTGGTCGCAATTTAACAAAGTAGTCAAGTAGGAAAATGGCAAAAAGATTAAAGTACAGCCGCAACATTTTACAGCAAAGCTTTGGAAAAGGAAGCTGAGTAAGTATCCAATTTCAGGCAGGCCAGCGCAGACAACTTGCAAAAGTCGACTGAGAATCAGAAACACAGTGACACTTTTTATTTGCAGACATTGAAGTGGAAAAAACCGTAAGTCGATCGCTGCTTTCAGAAAACACTGCTTCCGTGCTTTGAAAGTTAACAAAGCAAAAAAAAGTTCAGGAATGAATGAATGTAGAACAAGAGAGAAAGAGAAAGAGGAAACGTCGACAAATGAAGAAAACCACTTAAAGTGGAAAAGACAGAATTTCAGCGCAAAGCAAACAAAAACAATTGACATCTGACAAATGTTAGACGACTTGAGCTGCTGCTGCTGCTGACTTTTTTAAAACGATTTTAAATTGAAAATTGATTTTTGCAAGATAAGGAAGCTTAGAGAGGAAAGACATCTACTAGTGCTACTGCTNAAAACAATTGACATCTGACAAATGTTAGACGACTTGAGCTGCTGCTGCTGCTGACTTTTTTAAAACGATTTTAAATTGAAAATTGATTTTTGCAAGATAAGGAAGCTTAGCGAGGAAAGACATCTACTAGTGCTACTGCGAATGGGTCAGTGTTGTAAAAGAAAGATTTTCTCTGCCTAATTAATCTCAACTGATTGCGCATCCACATTGAAATGTTTATTGCTCTTCAAACTCGTCTAACTAATGGTGGTCAAGTTTTTTGTTGTTTTAGTATCGGTAAGCGGTATTTTTAGGGGTAAGAAACGTTAGCGAAACCCGTTTTTTCCGGCAATGCCCGTTCAGTGCTCTTTGCCTGAGAAACAGCTGACCTTTACCACAGAAAACTTCACTTCCGCGACTTATAAAGATGCTTACCCTTGAAGATTTCGAGTGGACATTCAGTCTGTTTTCAGCAGTCTGCCAACACCATCACAGGAAAAAAGTTTTAAAGATGAAGTCTTGGAGTAGCAGTGTAGTAGCAGTGGCTCTGATCATCATCAGCTGTTTTCTCGCAGCAGCACGACAAAGCTATGCAACTGAAGGTAAACAAACAAACAGCCGTGTTTACATGATCATCAATTTTCTAACATCTTTCTCTCCCCTCTTCAAAGTGGACACGGCCCCAACTCTTCCTGACACACTGTTCTTCACGGCGGAAAGCCACCTCTTCACCAGCGCCACCACCAATGTGTCCTTCTCCCTGGGACAAAGCTACCCACCGAAAGAGAGGTTCAGCTACGAGGTAATACTCCACCTGACCAAGTCTGCTTCGGCCGCGGCCACTTCCAACGCCCCCTGCGGCAAGCACTGTCTGACGAAGCACTACACGGTGATCTCAAATGCGACAGCCAACTTTCCATTGTCGGTGGGAGGGCTGCTTGAAGAGATGGAGTCGAAGTTCAACCGAGATGAGGCGAAGGAGGAGGAGGAGGAGATGGCCATCATGAAGCCCTCGAGCACCAGGTACATTCACCTCTTTGTCAAGGTTTTCCAAATGGAGGCGGGCGGGGAGGCTAGGGGAAAACAATTGGCCGCTAATACGCGCACCATTGCCATAACCGGTAGGTGTTTTAGATGATGATGATTGTTATGATTATGATTGTTATGATTATGATTGTAATTTTCTCTTTTTCTAACAGACAACCTCATCTACTACTTTGACGTGGTCATGAGCCAGGCGGCCAGGCCCGAGTACTGGTCTGCAGACAACCAGTTTATCCGCTTCGAGAAGATCAACTTTGCAGTCGAGCCAAAGGGCTGGCTGGAGAGTAGACTGGAGGACAGCAGATTGGTTGATCGCGGGGATGATCATCCTTCCAAAGCCTCATCAACGACTGAGCTGACCTACTCGTGGGCGATTACTGGACCGGTAAAACTAACACTGCGGAAGCCCGATGTGATCACCTCTTCCAGACGTTCTTTCTCTGACACTTTCCAGCGATCAGGAAAGTACATGGTGGCGGTGGACGTGGTCCTCACCGAAGAGGTCACCGACAAACCGGAGAGCGATGGAAGCTCCAAGAGCACAACCTCAACAAAGAGAGGCCACTTTACAAAGATGATTGAAGTGAAGAAGAGAAAGCACTTCTTCTAGCTAAACTGATTGTTATTGCGCACTTGTAAATCAAATCTTGGACCAAATCTAAAGAGTTCTAACATTAGAGCACCAGAAAGTTAAATAAAGCCTGCATTCATTTCTTGATGACCATTGCTCACCTCTACCCCCTCATTTCCACCCAATCCATTAATCAATCAGCGATTTCTCAATGACTGAAAAACGGTTGAACTTGAGGAGCACGCATATTACAACATTGAGCTGTCCGTGTGCACTTTCACCTCTCACCCTCACTGCTGACAGTTCAAAAGTCGTTGCCTTTCCTCTCATTTGCCTTCACCTCAGCACTGATTTCCCTCCAAATCTCTCCCGCCGGCAGACAGCGTTAACAGTGTCAGTAAGTGTTACTGCTGCTGGCAGTATTGTCAGTGGCAGCTGGGCAGAGTAGGTCCCTCCCCTCGACTCAGCACTGAGCAGTCCGCTGATCAGTCTGCCGTCGATATAAAGGAGCCCTCAGTCAGCTGGCAGATCACTCACTGCACTCACCCCCTCTCGTCTGCACGTCTATTCCCTCACCACCACCACCACCAACAACCACTCTTGCAATGGCCCGCACCAAGCAAACCGCTCGCAAGTCCACCGGAGGCAAGGCTCCCCGAAAGCAGGTAAGATCTCTAGTATCTTCTATCTGGTCAGACCACTTTAACACCACTTTCTTCTTCTTCTCCATTTCTAGCTGGCCACCAAGGCTGCCCGCAAGTCGGCCCCGGCCACCGGCGGCGTGAAGAAGCCCCATCGCTACCGCCCCGGCACCGTCGCCCTCCGTGAGATCCGCCGCTACCAAAAGTCGACCGAGCTGCTCATCCGCAAGCTGCCCTTCCAGCGTCTGGTCCGCGAGATCGCCCAGGACTTCAAGACCGACCTGCGCTTCCAGTCGTCCGCCGTGATGG